GTATGGAGTTAGTTCCAAAGAAGAAAAATTTTAAAAAGGTCAGATACTGCCACAAACAAAAAGGAGAGATGTATACTAAAGTGGGAAAAATATTCGTAGCATTTATAATAGACAATGAATTAAATCCTTAATATACAGATTATAAGGAAAAGACAAGTAGGGCAATAGAAAAGTTAACTGAACAGGTAAATCACAAGAGAAGACATTTAAGCAGCCAACCGTGTGTGCACACCTGTGAGTGTGGAGTCAAATTTATTATCAATGATAAATATGTAAAGTTTTGGAAAACGCTGATAAAACCTGTGATAAGACTTTGCCTAATGAATTGCTTTTCTCAGAAATAAACAAACTACCCCAAATTCCAAAGTCAGAGGGTATATGATTACGTGGACACTGCACTGCTGATTGGTCCAGTAATCTGGTTACAATTTGATAACAGAAAAGGTTTTTAAAGATGTTCAGTCCCTTTCACCCAGTTTTTATTAAAAATTTTTTTTTCACTTAGTAGAACTTATCCTGAGGAAATAATCAGAGAGGTGCAGATTATGTACATGGTGGCTCATTAGAACATTATTTATAATAATATTATTTTAAAAGCTTAGCCCTCAGGGACTGTATCACTGTTGGGCGGGTTATTAAGTGGCTGTGAACAGAATCCTATTTTAGATGAGCGTTTACGGATGGGAAATGTTAACAACATGCACACTGTGAACATCTGTTGTCTCTGAGTGGTGTCATTATCCTGCTGTTAACAACCTCTGGCCTTGTGCGGACCTGGTCTGCACAAGGTGTAAGACATGAACACAACTGTGGTCCTGTCTCTGATGGAATGAAGTGGCCACGAGGAGCAGCTGAGAAGCTTCAAGGACACCTGGAGGGCCACCTTTGACAATGACATGGGCTTCATTTTTTCATTTTTTTTTTTGAGATTTAAAAATGATATATTACTTTCTAAAAAACTCATCAAAGGGTAGTTTATTTAGTCCTTGCATTCTTAAAAAAATTTTTTTTATGTCTTCTGTCCATTGACATGGACTTTACAATAAAATATTAGCTTTCCCCACTTGGATGTTTTGCTTGACTTTGAAAAATCTGTACATTAAGATAGTCTCAAAACACAGAAAACCTCTCTCCAGGGTGTCCTTTTTCTTTACATCCAACCATCAATGTACCCATGACCCTACTTTATGAAAATGTGATTTATAAATATTCAAATTTGAAATATAACCTAATCTTTAAAGTGGAGGGAGAAGTGGAGATGTAGTCTCAGTTTCTCACTTAGCAAATAAAGAATTCAAGCTTGAGAGAGATTAGGTGCCTTGATTGGTTATTATCCTTAATATGTAATAAATCGCTTCTACAAATAATGAGAAGAATATAAAACCCATGACAGGCATCTGGACAATGCATGCGAACAGGTAAGTTACGGATGAAGACATAAAAGTGGCAAACAAACATGCAAAAGCATTTCAACCTCAGGAGTAGCGAGAAATGTGAATTTTCACCAGGCTCCACAAATGAGGACAAGTGGCTTTTATACAAAGTATCTATATTGGATTCTCCTACACTGTACAGGGTTGGGTGTGCACCCTCATCTCCTGCCTTTTCTGTGGCTCCCACCCTCCCACCCTTACAAGATGTTGGGGAGGGTGAGGAACCCTCCCCTTCGAGCCCTCCTACCAACAACACAAATTTGCTTTTTTTTCTCTTTGCAAAAACAAAAAGAAAAAACAAGCAAGCAAACAATATGAAGATCGTACAGAGAAAACACTGGGACAACTACTGAAAGCACCTGTCACTTCCTGCAGACACTCCTCCCAGGCCCCTGGGACATACTCAATATAATGCCTTGAGAGAGAAAAAGGAGAGGGCAAAGGTCACAGCCGGGAGGTGAGATGAATTACTGGGTCACACAGAAGAGGCGCAGGTCACACAGCTGAGTGAGGCCTGTGGATTAGTAACAGTGTGACTCTATGTCACATCCTTACTCCCGAGAGCCAGGTCAGGGCAGATGTAACAGAACCTTGCTTCTACCTCTTCAGGCACATTTACAGGAGTCTGAGGTCTTAGTTCCTTTTTCGAACAAGGCTAAAAGCCTCTAACTTTGGCATTTAGAATTGTAGGCGTTCATATCTTAGCACAGACTCTCCTATGCTGTGAATCATGATTTTATGCAGACTGGAGCTCAATATAATGACATAAATGCTAGCAGAACCCATCCTAGGAAGCGGTGCTTAATTCCAGACCAATAAAATACTGCGTTAAGGCATCTTCTTCTTTTCCTGCAAGAATCAGTATTTTCTTTTCTTTTTTGGAGAGGGGAGGTAATTAGGTTTATTTACTGATTTATTTTTAATGGCGGTACTGGGGATCGAACCGAGGACCTTGTGCACGCTAAGCACGTGCCCTACCACTGAGCTCTACCCTCCCCACAAGAATCAGTATACTCAATGAGTGACTTCACATAGCCTGAATTTCAAATTAGGTGGGGGTAGAGCAATGAGATAGCAAGACCTGACTCCACTGTAGCTGATACGAAAAAGCCCCAGAAAATAAATGATTCTCCATTTGAGTTAATACAGAATTTATAAATTTAATAAGAGCTGTGGCTGAAGGCTTTTTTATCTGAAAATGTGGGTCTGCTCGGTTTTTGCAAAACAGATTCAATGTTCTTACTCCTGTTCATTGAAAAATGGGTTTTCTTTTCATAAAGGTTAATTGATTTCCTGTATTGCCTAACAGTAATATTACCCATTATGTGTTTCAGAGAAGAAAATATGCATATTTGCCCTTTAAATTATGCTCCCAAAGCAAGCAAGCAAGCACTTCTGATGACTTACAGCTTCATCATGGTCTCCTGTTAGGGTTCTTAAAATAACATGCAGCCTGAGACCATAGCAAAAAACAGAGAGAAAAGGACACTGTTTTATTTCATCTACAAACAAGGGAGTCTAAAGTAATGATTTTCTCAGCTGAGCCCATTATATACTGAGCATATGTGTATTTTGAGTAGATTTCTTTTCAAAATAGGACCGTTAGTTTCTATGCTCTGAAGCAAACGCTGGGAAGCCAGAACTCCCTCCTCCACGGGGAGGCAGCTGGTTCCAGCCTAGGCTGCAGGGATTACATCCCGCACCCACAGACTGGCTGACAGCTGGCTTCGTCCAGAACCGTCCTAGAGTTAGCTCGGATTCCTAGCTCGGTCCTGGAGATGAGCTGCCTCGGCTGGGGTTTCTGCTTAACAATGAGATGGTCTGGACTATCCGGGACTCTAGAACAGGGCTCGGCCAACCACAGTCCTTGGGTCAAAGCTGGAAATGTTCTAAAACTGGATTGTGCTAACGGTTGCACAACTCTATAAATTAGCCGAACACCATGAATTATGCACTTAAAATGGATGAATTTTATAAAATATACCCCAGTAAAGCTGGATTTTTTTTTAAAGCACATACATACAAAAGTAACAGAAGAAAACAGAGTAGGAAAGGCCTTAGAGTAAAAGAGGTCTTTTTTAACTGACCTGAAATCCAGAAGCCATGAAGAAAAGACGGGTAAATTTGACTACCAAAACAAAATCAAAGAGCAAACAATAACCAAAAAAAAAAAAAGAATCTGACAAAAAATCATGGCAAGTTATACTATAAGCTAAATCAAAAGGCAAATGACAAACTAAGAGAAAATATTTACCATATATATAAAAAAAGACCAAGCTTCCTATAAAGAGTCCCTAGAAATCAATAATAATAATCCGAAGGGAAAATAGGCAAAGGGTTATGAACTGTTTTGCAAATAAAGTTTTACTGAGACACAGCCAAGTCTATTTGTCACGTGTAGTCCACGGCTTCTCAGGCTACAGTGGCCGAGTTGGCAGTGGAACAGAAATGGGAGTCGGTGTGTTTTGGTGCCTGTTACTAAGAAATAAGATGAGATGTGATTCCGAGGCTGATTCACTTCTTAAGGGTGTGAATTGTTCTGGTTTGCCTAGGTGCTTTATCTTTTGGCTGCATCAGGAACTCAAGTGTAGATGGGTGTAGGGGCAGGGCAGTGATGCTGGGTGATGTAACATTATGGTCATTATATAAGGCTTGTAAACTTGCACAAGGCTGAGGTCTATGGGTACCCGCCCTGCTGCCGTGGTAACCAAAGCAGAGGTTGTAAACTGCTAGTTCATGGTTGATTCCAGACAGCAGACATATTTGGACTGGCCCATGAGTCTCTGATCTTTTTATGTATTAATTGCTTGCATTTAGAAGTGGGGATACTTCATTCAAAATTCTGGATTTCCAGCTTCATTTAAAAATTTGAAATCTCTGGACATACTGGGTTCCCTCCCTGCTAGTTGGTGATTGCCTGGAGTGGAGGTGTGATTTCTCTTCTGAGAGAACCTGGTTCTCCTGTTTTGTTTCAGGCATTGGTGTTCTCTGCCTGGTTCCCGGGGGCCTGTGAGTTTGCAACACTTATTCTGCGTGTTACAAAAAGGATTTGTGCTATGGCGACCTTAGGTTCCTTGGGGGTCATTCTGTCTCTCCTCTGTCCCTTGCTAAGAGTTTCTAGCTCACTTTACCTTACATGCGCTAATCATATCCCATTCTGACGCTACTGCTGAATGGAATAAACAGCCCACCTTGGACAACGCCTGGACAGGGAGTCACTGAGTACATAGAGCCGTTTATTACATTGATTGGAATCAACGTGAAGAGTAAATGTACTGAGTGTGTGTGTGGGGGGTGACCTTAGGATGGCTGAAAACTAGCCTTTCACTCTGAATTCTCATTTCCTCCCATCATGTTTCTGGTGATGTTGTATCTCACGGTTTCAGAAGAACCTAGAAGCACATTTATGGGGATGTCGTCATAGGAGATGCTTGCATTTAGTAACACTCAATTGGTTTGGAAATAATTGTTGCTGATTCTCTCAGGCTGGTCTTTTAGGAAACCTGTGTTTCTATTTGGAAGGGACAAAAATGGAGGCACACAAAGAAAAGAAAAGAAAACAGGTACCTGTCATACTGTTGGGAGTCATGGGTTAGTAATCATTCTGGACCCTTTTTTTCACTGACATCTCCTACAGAGAAAAAAGACAAGAAAAATACCACGGGTTATAACCTGCATTTTCCATAAAATTTTGTTCCAAACAACATCACATGCATTAATTAGCTCGAGGTGACTTGTTACTTTCAACTCAGAACTGGGAAAACTGAAACCCAGGTGGGCTGTGTGATACACATAAGTTTACAGTCCTCCTAATTTTCACCTCAGATTTCCTTCTATATCTTTGTCTTTATAACAGTATTTTATTCAAGATCACATGTCTACTTTCCAACCTCAAGTTTTTAGGAAAGCACCAGTCCACTGACTTTTTTATCTCGAGTGGCTGAGACGCGTAAGCATCTTCTATCCAGATCTTTGCTTATTAAAATATGGTCTGTGGACCAGCGGTTTCGGCATCACTGGGAGCTTACTAGAAACAGAAAATGAGGGTCCTGCATCAAACCTACTCAGTCAAATCTGCATTTGGACAAGACCAACAGATGATTCACACGCACGTTGAAATCTTAGACACACTGCTCTAGAGAACGGAATCCGTATTCTCATCTTATTCGTGACTTTTTCTTGGTCAGTGCTAAGCAGCTCCTCCTGACCGCTGTATCAGTGAGATCCAAGGGTAGCAGACAGACTTGGCCTTGTACCAGGACCAAGGTTGTGTGCGGGTCAGTGACCAGAGGCACCCGGAGGAGGGCAGAGTGTTGAAAGACACACACACAGATAAACCAGATGGCTGCTGATCGTGGGTCAGAGTCTTTCCACATATGGCTGGGGACAGATTGGGATGAGGTTTCTTTTTCTAGATGGGCCTCTGTATCCAGTGGTGGACAGTGGCAGCCTGGTGACTCAGGCATCGTGCTGAAGCTCAAGGCATGGGTTCCAGGGCCAGTGCTGTCACCTACTGCCTGTGGGATCGCGATTTCTTCATGTGCAAAATGCGGGAGATACGACTTGCTTTACCTAGTCCATAGGGCCGACGTTTCGGAGGTTTAAAGAGGATGTGAGTGGAAGTGCTGGGTAAACGATAGTTTTCTGTGCACATAAAAGCCATTGGATGAGGGAGGAAATACCTTTTTTTTTAAAAAAAAAATTAAAGTATAGTCAGTTACAATGTGTTAATTTCTGGTGTACAGCATAACGTTCCAGTATGCATATATATATATATACATATACATACACATACATATATTCATTTTCATTTTTTTATTAGTGGATATTACAAGATATTGAGCATAGTTTCCTGTGCTATACAGAAGAAATTTGTTTTTTATCTATTTTTATATATAGCGGCTAACATTTGCAAATCTCACACTCCCAAATTTATCCCTTCCCACCCCCTTTTCCCGATAACCATGAGATTGTTTACTATGCCTGTGAGTCTGTTTCTTTTGTAGATGAGCTCATTAGTGGCCTGTCTTTTTTTTTTTTCTTGTTTTCTTTTTTTTTTTAGAGCCCACATATAAGTGATATTTTATGGCATTTTCTTTTCTCTTTCTGGCTTACTTCACTTAGAATGACAGTGTCCAGGTCCGTCCATGTTGCTGCAAATGGCCTTATTTTATTCTTTTTTATGGCTGAGTAGTATTCCATATATAAATATACCACAACTTGAGGGAGGAGATATCTTGATGCTAAGTAATTGATTGGAGATGAGGAAGCATGTAGATTCTATTTTCTATATGGCCATTCCTGCTCTGTCTCCACATCAGGACCTACAGCACTGAGTTCATACCTTGATCATAGTTCTTGTCACACCTGCAGAAATCACATGTTTACAAGGCTGCCTTTCCCACCAGACTATAATCTCTTTGAGCCAGGGACTATGTCTTTGTCATTTTTCTTTCTTTCACATTGAGCAGAATGTCAGATACAAAATAGGCACTCAAGAAATACATGCTGAGTAAGTGAATAAAAATAAAATTACTGAGGGTGGGGGGAGGGTATATTTCAGTGGTAGTGTGTGCTTAGCATGCACCAGGTCCTGTGTTCAATCCCCAGTACCTCCATTAAAATAAATAAATAAACCTAATTACCCGCCCCCCTCCAATTTACTGAAGGTTGACATGGTGTGGTATAAGCTACCTGACTTGGCATCTGGCAGAAAGGAGGAGTATTAACTACTAGCAAATGCATTCTTGCTACCAATGAACATTTCAAGGGTCACCAACCACAGCTCCATTCTCATTTGACTGTGCAGCTGGGTTGTGAGTGAGAAGCCCAGGCTCTGAGACCCCCAGGGTGAGAGCTCAGATCACACCTCTGGTGCGGAGTGTCCATACCCCTCGTTCTTGGAGTCTAGGCCGCCATTAACCCCCTCTCCCCAACCTGTGGGTGCTGTTACGTCCTTCTGAATGTTCTGGAGAGGATGAGGAACTTGGCTCGAACTGGGCCAACCACAGTGCTCCACCTTTGGCCAAACTGGGCAAGACCGGAGGTGGGCTAACATGAGGATTTTTCAGGATGTTTGGAGAAGGGAGGAGAGAGAGGAGGAGGCAGGAACAGAAAGGGTGGGGAGGTAATTTATTCTGTCTCTGGTGGCGGAATTTATCAGGCACTAAAACTCTCAAACATGTCTCTCTCAGCCACAAGGAAACAGCCTGTCTGAGGGTGAGGGAGAGGCGACCCTGACACTCCCAGAGGACTTGAGGAGAGGAGGGAGTGCTGTGGCCTCGAAGCCCTGCCTCTAGTTCTCCCTGAGGCCCAGCTGTGACCCCCCTGGCCGTCCTCAGCCCTCCCTGAGCAAAACGGTGGGTTTTGCTGGGTCCAGCAATGAGGGGGGGCCAGTCAGCTGTCCGCCCCCTGCAACCAAAGAACCCCGACTGACAGCACCAGTAAGAAGACACATTAACACAAATGTGCCAGAAGAGCTCTGTGCCCTTTTTATCATCTTGAAGGTGAAGCTACAAAACCCCAGTTATGTTCTTGCTACGCCGACCATTTAAACATATCTTTTCAAAATTTCACTTAGAACAGGCATGTGAGCCATAGAAGGGCAGAGTGCGTGAAGCAGAAAGTATCCAGGAACAGGAGAAACATCTTTCAAGGCTTTAAACACATTGTTACCACCACAAAATCCGGTACTGTCTGCTTCCACTGCAGCAGCACAGTGCTGCAGCGCCGCCGCGCCACGCCACGCCACGCCACACCGCCAGCAGCGCCACCGCGAACCGGGAAGTCCTGTTCCCGCAGTGCTTCAGCACTGCCACGCCGTGCCATGCTGCTACCGCGGCTGTGGCATTCACAGCACGTCCCTGTCCCTATTGCTGTAGCGCCTTAGTGTTACTGCGCTGTGCTATGCTGCTGCCGTTCCCGCGGCGTTTATGGTGCCTTCCCGTTCCCGTCCCGGCAGGGCTCTAGCTAGTATTTCGTATTACTTCGTGCTGGTTTCCTTCCACGAGCTCTCGAGTGTCAAACCCTAGTTAAAGGCTCCGAGGGGGAAGGTGTCCCAGGGCTGTTAACGGTCACCCGGGACATGGGGCCAGGGTGCCAGCCAGTGCTGTGTGTGTGCGGAGGCGGGACGCACAGAAGGTCTTCTCTGGAGCCACCGCAGGGTCACAGCGTCAAAGGAGGAACAAAGTCTCAGCAGTTTAAAAGGAAAGGAAGCTGAGTTTTTCCCTTGTGGGGAGAGCGCGCGGGGCTCCCGTGGGGAGCGGGTCGGCGGAGGAGCGGAGGGCGCCGTGAGCTGTGCTTGCGGAGGACTGACCGCAGCACCGTCCTGCTGTCCCTCTGTCCCGCTGTCTGCAGGGCAACTGACAGTCTGCATGTCCTGCGTTGCCCCAGGCCCACTGCTCCTGGCAGGGAAGAGCCCACAGTGACAGTCTGCATCCCGGCCCCGAAGAGCTGAGGGTCCTTTAACAGTTTCACCATTTGAGCACCAGCTGAGGGGAGAGTGGCCTTCAGTTTCGTCCCCTGGGAAAGTGTCACTGAACCCAGAACATTCCTTTCACATGGGTCATTCATTGATTTGGTTGGTCAGTCCAGAGGCCTTGACTGAGGGCCTAGTCTCTTTGGGCACCGTCCCAGGCTTTGTCCAAAGACAACACTTGGGCCTGCTCACATGGGGCTTCCAATCTAACAGAGGAAGAGAATTACGCTAAAAAAATGCAAAGTGTGTGCAGGTTTCACCTGAAGAGTCTCCTCCAAGCCGACCGGGAGCCACAGGAAGGAGAGGTCATTTCCACCTGGGGCAATCTGGGAAGGCTTCGCGGTGGAGATGACCCTGCATCTGAAGGCTCTTCTTTCCAATATGCCTCTCCCTGGGGAAAGGCTGAATGCTTTACTCTCATTCTTGTGCTCCTGAGGGCCCGGGACCACTCTACAAGAAACGAGCCTTGTGTAGAAAAACTAGGCAACTCCCTCGAATGATGCAGGTTTTAAGCAGGGAAGTGATCCAATCCGATTTGGGTTTTTAAAGCTTCGCAGTGGCTGTGGCATGAAAGCACCCCAGTCGGGGAGCTGTGGCAGGTCAGGCAGGGAGGTGAAGGGGGCTGGAACTCAATGGCTGTGACAGCAGAGCAACTCTCATGACATTTAGGAGGAAGAAATAATGACACGGTGATGAAGTTGATTCGAGTATTTAACACGGGGATAAACACTGGGTTTGCAAATCGGTTCAGCCCAGAGGTTCTCGGCCCTCAAGGAATTTACAATCCATTTTACAAGCTGGCCGGAAGGCAGCGGCTGTTGGCGGGGAGCAGCTGAAAATGCGAGCTGCATAGACCATGTGCCAAGAAGTGGTGCTGAGAACCAACAGCTCAGGGCGGAGACTTGCTCCGCCAGCTCCATCCTTCCCTGTCCGATGCCGTCTGTGCCCCTTGGGCGAAGCATTCCCCTTGGAGGTGGGCATACACCCCTCAAACATATAAAATGCATTTCTATTTTAAAAATACAAGTGATGGAAAGTTGTTATCGAGTACTCTGAAAAGGAAGTGTCATTATTATGAACTCTTAAGAAATACATATATATATATGAATACATAACTGAATCACTTTGCTGTACACATGAAACTAATACAGCAT